TCTTTTAAAATTTAGAAAACTTCTTTACAATCTCTTTAATGTTCATGTAAGTCCCAAAACTAATTTTCCATTCTGTTTACAGCTGTGAAAGTCTGCGCTCCAGGACAATTCCAGTGTAAAAATAACAACTGTACGTTTGTGTTTCGCGTCTGTGATTTGCACGACGACTGCGGAGATGGTAGCGATGAAGAAAATTGTAACACAAGACAATGTGAATCGTGGCAATTCAAATGTAATAATTATAAGTGTATACCTAAGAAATGGCAGTGCGATGGTGAAGACGATTGCGGGGACGGATCAGATGAATTGTCCCATTCTTGTGGTACGTTTTTTTTTTCATTTTTTAGTTCTCCAATTTCATTTCATTTAATTTCGACAGTTGTAAATCAAAAAAGAGCAGGCTCATGCCACTGTCCTGGCAAAATTTCCCTCATTGCACCCTGAATGGCGTTATCTGTCTTCATTAGCCCAATAAGGTGCAGAAAAGTAGGATGTAAAACTCCATTCATTTTAAACACCATATACATCTATATCTACTGCATACCTGACACTTTTCCTCATTGAACACTGCAAGATGTTGCTTGTGTTCATTAGCCCAATTAAGTGCAGAAAAGTAGGACATAAAATTTCATAAATGTCCATGTATGTATCAGTCTGGATAAACAAAAAAAAAGACTTTTTGACCTTTCTTGTTCAGTCACTCAGTGGAATTCTGCTGGTAATTCTCTTCTAATTTAGCTAATTATGAATTAATTATGGACATGTGAGACAAACTGGTATTTTTCCAAGTCATTAGAACACCTCTACTTTCTATTCAAATAAGTATTAACATTTTCATTTCATGAATGAAAATAAGGGAACCCATCTTTAAGTTGTTATCTGTGTAAAATATTGAATGATGCAGAATAACGAGGTCTTGGTGGAGCTGAAATTCAATGTCGCCGTTATTTTTCCGAAAACACATCAAATGTAACGTGTAAGCACTACAATTTTATCTCTTCCATTTTATTTTCAGGTAATTCTACGTGTAGCGTTGGACAGTTTATGTGTGATAACAAGCGATGTATACCAGCCACGTGGAAATGTGATTTCGATGATGATTGTGGTGATGGCTCTGATGAAAAAACATCATTTAATTGTGGTAAGTTTTGGAGTAACAGTTATCTCCCCTTTTTAAGCTCTTCATGTCTTCTGATGCATATTGTTGGTACCCTAATTCGACAAATCTGGTTCTATCAGTGATATTCAGATGTTATGTTGTCACAGTTAGGTATAAAGGGGCAACTCTCGAAAACACTGGCACAGGCATCAGAATTTGTCTTACCTTAAGGAGTATAAGGGTTAGGTATTAGGGGGTGAGAGCCAACACTGGATTGACTCTCGAAAGCACGAGCACAGGCATCAGAATTTTTCATACCTTGAGGAGGATAAGGGTTAGGTAATAGAGGGTGAGAGCTGACACTGGGCCGACTTTCGAAAGCACTGGCACAGGCATCAGAAGTTTTCTTACCTTGAGGATTTGAACCCACAGCACTTAATCGCCTAGCAGACGTCAATCCATCTCGCTACTGTCAACTTTTATATGAGTAGAAAATAAAGAAAAAATGCTTCAATCCTGGAAAAATTTCTCTCATTGGACACTGCATGGCATTGCCCATCATCATTAGCCCAATCAAATAGAATTCCATTTGACTCATGTTTTCGTGTATTTTTTCAGAATCGCGATCATGTTTAACAGGATGGTGGACCTAATCAAATAGAATTCCATTTGACTCATGTTTTCGTGTATTTTTTTCAGAATTGCGATCATGTTTAACAGGATGGTGGACCTAATCAAATAGAATTCCATTTGACTCATGTTTTCGTGTATTTTTTCAGAATCGCGATAGTGTTTAACAGGATGGTGGACGTAATCAAATAGAATTCCATTTGACTCATGTTTTCGTGTATTTTTTTCAGAATCGCGATCGTGTTTAACAGGATGGTGGACCTAATCAAATAGAATTCCATTTGACTCATGTTTTCGTGTATTTTTTTCAGAATCGCGATCGTGTTTAACAGGCTGGTGGACCTAATCAAATAGAATTCCATTTAACTCATGTTTTCGTGTATTTTTTCAGAATCGCGATCATGTTTAACAGGATGGTGGACCTAATCAAATAGAATTCCATTTGACTCATGTTTTCATGTATTTTTTTCAGAATCGCGATCATGTTTAACAGGATGGTGGACCTAATCAAATAGAATTCCATTTGACTCATGTTTCCGTGTATTTTTTTCAGAATCGCGATCATGTTTAACAGGATGGTGGACCTAATCAAATAGAATTCCATTTGACTCATGTTTTCGTGTATTTTTTTCAGAATCGCGATCATGTTTAACAGGATGGTGGAAATGTAAAACTAATTATAGATGTGTACCGAACTGGTCACGATGTGATGGAGAAGATGATTGCCGTGATAATTCCGATGAACTAGAAGAGAACTGTCCAGTCTGTCATCCGACTGGAGACTGGAAATGTGCCAATAGAAAATGTATCCCGAAACGCTGGCTGTGTGATTTTGATGACGATTGTGGTGATAACTCTGATGAAGCTTCGGATACATGTGGTTAGTTGAACTCTAATCTCTAAACTCTAAACTCTAATCTCTAAACTCTTGACTCTTGACTCTAAACTCTAAACTCTTGACTCTTAACTCTAAACTCTTGACTCTAAACTCTTGACTCTTGACTTAACTCTTGACTCTAAACACTTGACTCTTGACTCTAAACTCTTGACTCTTGACTCTTGACTCTAAACTCTTAACTCTAAACTCTTAACTCTTAACTCTAGACTCTAAACTCTTAACTCTAGTCTCTAAACTCTTTACTCTTGACGCTTAACTCTAAACTCTTGACTCTACACTCTAGACTGTAGACTCTTGACTCTAAACTCTTGACTCTAAACTCTTGACTCTAGACTCCACTCTAAACTCTAAATTCTAAACTCTAGACTCTTGACTTAACTCTTGACTCTAGACTCTTGACTCTTAACTCTAAAAACTCTTAACACTAAAAACTCTTGACTCTTAAACTCTCGACTCTGAACTCTGAACTCTGAACTCTTAACTCAACTCTCCACTCTAGACTCTAGACTCTTAGCTCTTAACTGTAAATGAAGCGTTTTATGATATCACTATATTTTTGAAAGAACTGGTGGCGAGGCCAGCCTTGTGAGAAGACTGGGGGTACAAATGAGGGGCAAACAGACATAATGGGGGACAAGAAAGAAATTGTAGATCATCTTTATTTTGTTTATTGTAGCTGATAAACTTCGTTCGTGTTCAGAATCGGAGTTTCGTTGTGATAATAAGAAATGTATTCAAGGAAAATGGCGGTGTGATCACGATAATGACTGCGGTGATGGCTCGGACGAAGATCCACAATATTGTACAAGTAAGTACTGGTTGTTCAAGACTACAAGTGTTTGTTAACATAATTTTTACGATTTATTGAAAGGGATTTTGGTTATTGACTTAAACAATTTATGGATTCTGATTTTCGTTTGAATTTTTTGGGGTACGATTTCAGGATGAATTTAGTTCTTGCCTTGTTGCCTTCAAATTTATGGATTCTGATCGACTTCTTTTTTTTTTCTCGGCAGAATTTAAAGAGTGTGATAAAGACCAGTTCCAATGTAGCAGTGGTCATTGTATTAGTTTAAACACTATCTGTGATGGCGCCAGAGATTGTTTTGATGCCTCTGATGAACAGAATTGTACGGCGCCATATCCTGGAAATAAATTCTGTCCTGACAGTAAATTCGAATGTGCCAATCATGTAAGTCTTTTTACTTCCGATGATATTTTTATTGATAGAATTGTCTTGCTTGTACCGATTTTTATTTGAAACACCTGATGGTACTTCTCTTTGGAGGAGTCCACTACTATACAACTATTACTCTAGATTTTGCCATACTTTGGACGAGATTTTGATTAACGGAATTCTCTTGACTGTACAGATTGGAAATGTTGATACTATTTTTAGATTTGTATATCGACCAATTGGAAATGTGACGGAGACAATGATTGTGGAGATGATTCAGATGAAACAGCTGAAGTTTGTAAGTCAGTGGATTGTGAAGATGCTGGGAAATTTCAGTGTGATAATTTTAAATGTATACCCAAGTTTAAGATTTGTGATGAGATAAATAATTGTGGAGACGGCTCTGATGAAAATAAACCGGGTCTTTGTAAGTTTGTTTATTTATTACCCTTAGTAAATATTGGGGAAGGATTGATTGATTCTTCCAAAAGTACAGGCCAAGGATGGAACAAATACTTTATTATGAATTTCTGAGAAAAGTTATATGGTCGTCTCCATTGTTGAGGATTTGATTCTTCCAAAAGTACTGGCCGGGGATGGAACAAAAATACTTTATTTAGAAATTGGAATAAGGTTCATTTTTATACGATTTTTGCTGAAGGGGCGGCACATGAACAGTCTTGGTCGCTGATTTTTGTCGCTGACTCAAATCTTGAGTAAAATCTTGTGTGTGCTCATGATTTCAAGATAATCGCATTGTCGACAGGATTTATAACATCTAAAAAACAAGACAGACCGTCATCATCCAATCAGATTTATTTTTCTTTCAATTGCATGATCTATACGTGATTATCTCCTTGTGTCCTGCATCCTGTCGGTGAAACTCTTGACAAGGCTCTAGTCTGCCAAGACTGTTCATGTGTCTGGACTGACTATTCTAAGAGGTAGTATTCCTTCCAATACAAGAAATATATTTGCATGTAAAGTTCTGTCTACTAGAGTCTGTCCGGTAGAGGATATTGACTGTCAGACATTTAAGCTGCCCTGCCAGTCATGTCCGGCAAATATAGTAAAATTTACAGCCCTTCTTGGATGTCACCATTAATATAAGAAATATATTTGCAGGTAAAGTTCAGTCTAACAGAATCTGTACAGAAAAAGAGTTTAAATGTACCAATAGGAATTGTATTGAGGGAACTCGAGTCTGTGATAACGTTGATGATTGCGGTGATCGGTCTGATGAAGATGGCTGCAGTAAGTACGAAACGTAATATGTAAAAGAAGAAAACTATAACCTCTGCCCTGGCTAAATTCCCAAAATTGGACACTGCAAGGTGTTGTCCTTCATCATTATTAGCCCATCAGGTGCAGAAGAGTAGGAAGTAAGTAAATGCTGTCTTGACAAAATTTCCCTCATTGCACACTGCATGGCATGGAAATATCTCACACAGGTGTAGAAAAGTAGGGTGTAAAACTCCATTCAGTTGAAAGCTTACAACAGATGGCTGCCCTGACAAAATTTCCCTCATTGCACACTGCATGGCATGGCAATATCTCACACAGGTGTAGAAAAGTAGGGTGTAAAACTCCATTCAGTTGAAAGCTAACAACAGAAGGCTAATGTTGCTGCCCTGACAAAATTTCCCTCATTGCACCCTGCATGGCGTTGCCTGTCTTCATTATAAACAGATACCCTCTTGTCCTAATTTCCCTTATTGCACACTGCATGGCGTTTCATTTCAGATAAAGATTCCGATGATTCTTCATGTTCAAAAGAAAATGGTGGATGTGCCCAGAATTGTACGTCATTAAAAGATGGTGGATATTATTGCAGTTGTAAACCAGGATATCAGATTGGAAGAGAAGACAGGAAGTCTTGTGAAGGTTGGACAGTTTCAGATTTTGTTCAGATTATTACTGATGAGGATTCTATACCCAAAACTTGTGTCTAATTATCATTACGATCAGTCGGTATTTCAAAAATTACCATTAGCAGTCCTGATGAGGATTGTGTATCCAAAACATGTTGGGCTTTTGTCTAGTAGCCTATGTAAGATGAGGACTGGGAATCTTGTGAAGGTTGGACAGCTTTAGATTTTTTTGTTTCATTATTACTGATGAGGCTGATATATCCAAAATGTGTGACGGCGTCAGATTAGCTGTGGCCTAGGGGTCACAAACACTGAAATTTTACGTAAATTTGAAGCATCTATTACAGGTGTATAACTTAACCAAAGCTAATTTCGCTGTCCTGAAAAAATTCCCCTCATTGCACACTGCATGGTGTTCCCCCTCTTCAGAATAGTAGGCCGGCATAGGTCGAGATAATACCTTTAGATTGTTCAACTCAGTTTCCTCCTGTCAGTGATGTAGGTAAGAGAGGCTGACAGGGAAAAAGTGTCTAGTTTTTCAGATGGGACAATAAACAGAGGCCCTGTGTTCTACAGGCTGTACACGTTAAAGATCTCTTGATAGTTGGAAATAAAAAATGAGCAGGCCAATGCTGCTGCCCTGACAAAATTTCCCTTATTACACACTGCATGGTGTTGCCCCTCCTCAGAAAAGTAGGATGTAAAACTCCATTTCATTTCATGTATATTAATTTTACAGATATTAACGAATGTGATAGGTGGGGTAACAACTGTCCCCAGAAATGTCAGAATATAAAGGGCACGTATAAATGTCAATGTGCGGAGGGTTTCAGGGATCGTCAACGAAAAGGAACCGAATGCAAGGCCAGTGGTAGGTAATACATTTTGTAAAAAGATAACCCCTGTCAGTGATGTAGGTTAGAGGCTGACAATGAAATGAAAAAGTGTCTAGTTGTTCGGATGGGACAATAAACCGAGGCCCCGTGTACTACAGGCTGTGCACGTTAAAGATCCCTTGACAGTTGGAAATTGAAAAAATTGTCTAGTCGTTCAGATGGGACAATAAACTGAGGCCCTGTGTACTACAGGCTGTACACGTTAAAGATCCCTCGACAGTTGGAAATCGATAGAGTGTAGGATAATACTGCTATCCTGGAAAAATTTCCATCATTGCACACTGCATGGTGTTGCCCATAAGGTGCAGAAAAGTAGGAAATAAAGCTCTATTTCATTTCATTTTACTTGAGTTTGATTTTTTGATGAACAGTTTTTGAGTTATTGGCCCTTGATTTTAATTTCAATTCAGATGAGTTTGATTGTCATGATTTTTTGATGAACAGCAGATGAGTTTGATTGTCATAATTTTTTTATGAACATTTTTTGAGTTATTTCCCTTGACTATTATTTTACATTCTAGATGGCAGTCTGATCATTTTCTTCGGCATTGGTGGAGCTATACAACAATACAGATCATCAACGAAGGAGTACACCAACGCCATCTTGAAAAGTCAAAGAGTTCAATCCATAGACGTGGATGTTGCTTGGAATTTGATATTCTGGACCGATAAATCTGAAAAAAAAATAAAACGCGCTACTCTACCTCCGGATGCTACAGTTTCTGGTGTTGCCCGAACCATCGTTAGCTTTGACGTAAAACAACCAGAAGGTATTGCAGTGGATTGGGTGGGAAAGTAAGATTATTTTTAATTTTTGTAAAGGGACAAGCTCGCCATCTGTTTGATCAATCAAACTTTAGTCTCAGAAACAGGAATTTCACTGTCAAAATTTAAGCCTTCAAATCCATGTGTGTTCAGAATTATCTGTGTTTGAATGTTAAAATGACGACTCGTCTTTTCTTGAGACACTGTCATATATAGAAAGACAAAGACAATTTGTCCTGCAAGACACATTTTGATTTGTTTAAACAGCTTAAGAACAGAACTGCCCTAGAATACTTGTTAGATTACAATTGAGAGGAAAAATAACATGAAATAAAAGGAATTTTAATCTCATTTTGATAAAGGACAAGTTGATGCTGATGTCCTGACAAAATTTCCCTCATTGCACACTGCATGGCATTGCCCAAAAAAGCATCTAGTCATTCAGATGGGACAATAAACTGAGACCCAGTGTGCTACAGACTGTGCATGTTAAAGATCATTCAACAGTTCGAAATTGAAAACCAGACGGCTAAAGCTACTGTCCTGGCAAAATTTCCCTCATTGCACACGGCATGGTGTTCATTAGCCCAATTAGTGGCAGAAAAGTAAGACGTAAAACTTCATTTTTGACCTAATGTATTTTTTTTATATTTTTTAAGAAATATATATTGGGCCGACAGTTTAAAGAAGACGATTTCCGTAGCTAAGAATGACGGAAGATATACACGGTCACTAATAGCAACTGATTTAGATTATCCAATGGGTGTCGCTGTAATCCACGACTGGGGTAAGTTATTTATGCCATCTTTTACTCTGCCTCTGCTC